TGGGATTCGTCCCTTGAGGGAGGGTACTGTCACGATCTGTCTGTGTTGTGTTTTGTCTTGTCTTTTTCTGTCTTTGGTTTCCTGTTTTATTTTGAAAAGTGTTCACCTCCTGTTTTGCCTGTTGGTTTCTGTCTGTTGTCCCTCCCTGATTACCCGATTGTGTTCACCTGGTGCCCCTGTGCTTTCTCCTCCCTCCTCACCTGTCTCTTGTTTGTTTGATTAGTCATGTGTGCATTTAGGTTCTGTGTTTTCTGTTAGTCTTTGTTAGTTCCTTGTTGTAGTTGGATGTTGTTCACGGGGTGAGAGTTCTGTTTTGTCCAAGTTTGTTTCATTTTCAACCTTGAGATTCATGTGATTGGTTGTTGGTCGAGTGTCAGACACGCCCGCCGGCAAGCGTCAACGCACGCCGCTGTGTGGACGGAGAGAATTGAGAAGCCTTCTCTATGTCTGTCAGTCTCAAATCTAAAGGGTGCAATAACGATTTGTATCCACTATGCATAAACAGCGGACACTGTTTATACGCAGCCCTCACAACCCACACACGGCCAGATAGCTTATCTAACAGTTAGAACCTACGAGACACAACCTTTATAGTCAGAAAAAAAGTGTGATTATTTTCTGATATTTTACACATATGATATTATGAATACTGTGGGCCTACATACCTTAGTGTGATTATAAGTGCATGTGAGTGAATATTGGCATGCACATTTGTTTTTATATGTCCTATTCATTGTCTCAATGCGCTCATACATTTCTAGAAGGTTATCACCAAACATTTCAAGAATGTTTTTAAAGAACGTTATCCTACCTTTCAGAAGAACATTCTGGGAACCAAAATAAAACGTCCCGCTGAAAACATTTCTAGCTAGAACAATGAATGGTAACATTCTCAGAATGTTTTTAGAACCAAAAATGTCTAGCTGGGAACTCTGTGAAGAAGAAGCCTTCATCACAATTGGCATAGGGGCATGGTAAAAGGCACACTGAGGGAAACACATTAATAACTAGTGATGTTACGTATTGCGCCGAGGCTTCGGAGCGTGTGACGAGTAATCCCCGAAGCTTTTTGTGAAGCATGTATCGAGGCTTGTATCGTTTTGGTCCAGTCACGTCATCGATGACAAACGAAGCCTCGCTGCCTGTCGATACCACGTGACTGCTTCAGAAAGCGATTCAGATCGGTTGAACCCTGGTTGAACCACAACGCTGATTTACCCATGGCTGTATAATAAGAACGATATTACCCCTCCTGTACCCGGGCCCGGTGACACGATGGAGTTAAGAGAGCTCAGACCCTCACTTATATAGAGTATAAATGAATAAAAGCATAAATAAAAGTAGGAACAAAAACATGAATAAATAAATGAATAAATACAGGAATAAATATGGTCCAGCGTTTTCAGTCGGAATCAGTGAGTGTGCTGTGGCTCAGCTGGAAAGCAGTTGACTCACGTTAATAAAAGCACCTAAGGACCATTTTTTTGTAACTCTAGCCAGTTTATTGAATCCCTAGTTTTTTCCATCAACATTTTTGTAACAAACTCACACATGCCATCGCAAACATGCAATATCTGCTTCCAGTTTATCATGAATTACTGCTTGTTGGTTTTTTTCAAAAGGAAAATATGGTGACATCAGATTTTTTAAAACATAATTTTCAAACAAATGCAACAAGTTTGTTTTTTTAAAGCGCTCTAGAAATAAATCTGATGTTGATCATGACCGTGTTAATATTTGCCATCACAGGAACGTTTTATAAAAAAATAATAACCTCCTGAAAACATTATCCGAATGTTGCTTAGAAAATGTTCTTCTTTTCTTATCATGTAACATTGAGGGAATGTTTTATAAAAGAATATCTTTAATCTGTTACCTCAACAACGTCCAAAAAACATCCTTAGAATGTTGCAGGCAAAACGTTCCACCTTTGTTAACATATCACTGTTGGGGGAAACTTCTGAAGCAATTGGAGTCAGGACTCAAAGAGACACGAGGAGAGCTGGAGCTTTGATGGCAAACACTGACGGTTTATTCTGAGCTTCGGCCGGAGAATTCACAAGACGGGAGTTGCCACAATCAATTCTGAAGAACTCTACCGCAGACCCATGTATTTAGCTAGTTCAGAGAGAATAATCAACATTGTGCATAACAAGATAGCACCTAACACATAACACCTCCATCAGCTGACGCCAACAGGCAGGAACAGGGAGACAAAACACTGAGAGCACAGCAGCCAAGGTTGCAGGTGCGTGTGCTCAGTCAGGACAGTATGAACTGATAAACTGTGTCAAAGTTATGGGCCTTGGAAAATATGTAATGCTCTTTCTAATTACATTAACAATGATGCTGTAGTGTTCAAGAGTCACTGTCATGATAGTGTGAGAGTGAGCCAGCATGCAAACTACCAAGACTCATTGTTATTCATATTTTTATACATTTAGCATATGAACCTTCTAATGAGAAATGTCAAAATGTATTTTGATAAAAAGGCCTTTTGCTTCAAAATAACATGAAATGCTGCAGCATTACCTTAATTTAACGCAAGTACCCAATATACATTCTAACAAATATGCCATTACAACCACATTTTAGTTATAATCCTTTTATCCAATAACAACTACAAAGATAAGCTTGAAGAAAAGTGTCATCTAGTGTCCGATTATTAAAAGTTATTTTACAGGATAATTATGAGAGATTTTTTATGTTTAAATAGCGGATACTGTTGCAGTTATTACAGGTGTTATTAATCTAACTACGGTTTGGAAGAATATGAAGAATATTTTCTACAACCTTTTATTTTGTATGTGAATTCACGATTTGAAAACAAAGTCACTTTCTGTCTATTAAATGTTGCAGAGAAACAAGTATGATATTTCCCTGTGAAGTCTAGTGAAGCAAAAGTACCAACACAACTACAGCAAATATAGAGCAAATATCTCACTGTTCAGAACAAAGTGCAGTCCTTGATTATGTTACTAGTATGTTACTTTCCACTACATTATTTCGAGATCCCCATCTTGTATCCTGTTAAGTCATTCAGTGTCAGAGATAATTTGTTTTCTCACCAGCTCTCCACAGCAGATGGAAAACAACACATTACGGATGATAAACGGAGGCAGTTACAGTCTTTTCTCCTGTTGCTCTAATCAAAGCATACAGACATGAGAAAGTTGGCACAATTTGAGAAAGCCTGTCACTCTATGTGTCATAAAGACATCCTCAGGCCTTGCGACAGTTTCATTCAGATTAAAAAAGCCAAAACAACTCATCACATATCACCTCATTAATTATGAGACTGGATTATTATTTATATCCTTCCGCCTTCACTCCTATTTCTGACTTTTTTTTTCTGACGTTTTGATCATCGATGACTCAGATGCAAGGAAGGCACCTGTCATTATGTTGCCCACACACACACACACACACACACACACACACACACACACACACACACACATACACACACACATACCATGTATACATCACTTCAGGGGACATTACATTGACTTACATGCATTTCCTGGAGACTTATCCTAACCTTAACCATAACCAAAACATGCCTAACCCTTATCCTTACCCTAACCCTAATCCTAAACCTAACCAAGTCTTCACACTAAAATTAATGATTCCCCTCATGGGGACCTCCAATTTGTCCCTATAAGGGAGCGAGTCCCCACACGTGACTGACTGTAACACATTCTCTAATTAACATCATGCAGTTGCCTATAGTTTTTCTGGGCTCACTGTGTCAGCTGTTGAGGGGGTTGTTGTGTCCCTGTTATGAGGTGTAAACCCTGCCAGAGCCCAAACCTGCCCCGTGTGAAACCTCTCAACCACTATCAGCAACAACATGGCAACTCCTACCCAGAATGCGTATGACTGGAGATGGGAGACTGTCCTCTGAGACGGCTGTGAATCCAACAAGTCAGACTAAGTAGGATTTTCTTAAATAAAGCTAGAGTTAAACAAAAAATAAAACCAAAGACATACATTTACTAAAACATATTAACCTTCATGACAAAAAGTACACGCCACAAATATGAGACTTGGATATATCTAAAATAAATACATGTAAAACTCTCACTCACATTTGTGATTCCGATCCTCAATTACACGGATACTACATTCAGCTTTTCCTACCACTCATTTAGCTTTATGGGTGCTATTGCTACACTGTTGATTGAGATAATGATAAGAGGCCCACACTAATAATGGCATTATCTGAAATGTGTTTAGCTTTTTACTTTTAAGTCCAGCATAAAATCAGCAACAAATTACACAAAAATTAAAGAAGAATTTGATCAATTCATCAATGAAAACAAATGATGTTTCCTGGAAAGGGGGTATCTGCAACGTGTTAACTGTAGCAGGCTGGACACCAAAAGCTCCTAATTATAATGGATGAACTACATTTGGCACATACAATTATTAATATATGTTTTATCAAATACATTTTAAGTGTCAGTCGTATTTAAGTCCAGGTTCTATTTTTTAGGAATATTTTAATGAAAATATAGCACTCTTTGTTGAAGAGCTTCAATGTCATGTGACCTTATTACTTTTACTAATGTGTCATGAATTGATTTGACAAAAAAATTCAATTGAAGATCATTTCAGTTTCTTCCATGTCATGTGACTAATTTACTCCCAGTTCATAACAGATATTATTGACTTAAAAAATAAAACACACCTCTTTTTATGTGATTGTAGTTCTTCTATTTTATTTGAATATTTGAATGAATATTCAGCAGCTTTTTATTTAAAAGTCTTGATTTTTTTTTCTCTAGCTTTTGTCATGTGACTCCAAATCAATGCAGCATTGTATTACAACACTAGAAGGATGTAGTTCTGGTCTAAAAAAAAACAAAAACCTCTTATTAAATTGCATTTTCCGTACCCTCTGTTTAAAAAAAAAAAGGTAGTTGCTTGTACGTGCATATTGTTTGTCATAATAGTTTTATATGAGGAAGAGTAAGGATACAAAAATAATCATTCTGTTTGCTATACTTATTTACAAAGATTCATTTAATTTGGTGCATCACAATGAATAATATACATATTTAAAGTGACATTTCAACAACATTACTACCTATTCAGTCTTGACCCTCAAAATACACAGTCAACCTAAAACATAAACTTACTGATACAAAAAAACACATTTCCCTTTTTTCATAAAAAAACGGAATCCTTCATTACTCTCAATTCTTCTATTGAAATATAAAAAAACACTGGAAACATTAGACATCATATCTTTGATACAACCAACAAATAAAGGAGATCTTTACTTGGCACAATATTGATATCAGTAGGTTAATAAAACTGAGAGGCACAGCTTTGCTGGTTTTTGATCGGTTCACATTGAAATTCACAAAATGTCATAAAGTATCAATCATAAAACATATCAAGATCATGGTAAGCAGAGAGCAAATGGACATTTAACCATAAGAGACAGTGCTAACAGATGCTTAAGCTTAGTTACCTGAGAGCACATCTGCACCATCAGCTGACATTCAAGTAAAACTAATTATGCAACAGGGAAAATAATACACATGTATCCAGGAGAATGTGGTGAATGGCTTTGAATGCATATTGCTGCAATTTGAAATGCATTTACAAGCATTTAAAGATACAAATATTACCGGTATTAACCATTAAACAAACTGAATGGTTATAATTGCATTTTAGAGTCTCATTTGACAGACTTTAAGAGGAGGCACTGATGGCTCGCTGGGAGGCGAGACTTCTACAGTGCAGGAACACAGAGAGAGGATGGATGAAGGCGAGCAGGCTGAGCAGCGCCAGACCGACGTTCACCTGCAGACACATGGGGGGAGAGAGGAGGTGGAGCGAGAGAAACAATCATAGATTAAGATGGTTATAAAACGAGAAGGATCAGAGAAAAGTTTACAGTATCAGTTATTTATTGTTTACTCACATATAAAGGATCTCCACCCAGAGGTCCATTCACCAAGGCAAAGAATGGATATTGCAGCACAGAAAACACTGCAGACAGAGCCATTACCAGACCATACAGTTTCCCAAAGTGGCAGGATGGGAAACTACACACACACATCGTGATGCCATGGAAAGAAAAAGTAAGTAGTGAAAAAGACATAGAAAAAGGGACATTTATTCGTAAAAACAACCACTTTATGTTCACCAACTAAGTATAAACATACAGTAAGTAAAGATTATAATGTTATTATAAGAAGAAATAAGAATGCTTTAGTGCAGTGGTTCCCAACCTTTTTTCCCAAGAGCCCCCCCAAATGATTCCTGTTGGAAGTTGCGCCCCCCCCACACACAAGGGGGGGGGGCGCAACAGCGGTAATTAAAGTTTAAAAGTCTCAAAAATGCTACAACTACTGTCACAAACTGGATGAATGTGGAGTATTTTGTTAAAGGAGGATGAAAGCGTAATTAAGGAGCAGTATTGGAGTGACTTTGATGGTTATTGGTCATTTGGATTCCCGCTGTATGAAGAAATTAAAGGACGGCGCAAGTGGAAACAATTCGCAAAGGGATTAAACTGTTTAAAACACATGCTCAAAGTAAGCCGGATTTTGCCGATGTGTTTATGTGGATTCAAAAGTAATCTACAAAATGGAAGAGACCGATCTGATCGGAGCAACTGTGACAAATAATCCAACTGAAACCGGCATGGACAATGACTATGTTTTAAAAATGCGCTTATCCAGAAAAGTCTGGTTTGGACACTTTACGCGCAGAAGAAACATTTCTATTAAAAAAAGAACTATACAAGTCTAAATATGATATTTGGCCTCAAATCATCTGAGGCCTGGCGCCCCCCCTGCGACCTTTCGCGCCCCCTTTGGGCGCGCCCCCCAGGTTGGGAACCACTGCTTTAGTGTAATGTAGTCCACAAAGAGGTATGAGCACCTTTGTATATTTGTGTATGTTTGATACTCACGCCACACTGAGGAAAGCTGCGTTGCCGCCATAGAGGAAGGAGCGGTTGAGCACCTGAAGGATGAAGGTGAGGTACTGAAGCGGCAGGTATGGGGTGGCGGCACAAACCGAGAACAACACACACTGCAGCGCCGTAAGGAAGAGAGAAAGTATGGAGGCATGCAGGTCCGCATCCTGTTCACTTTCTCCTACAAACAGACACACGCCCAAAAGAAAACAGTTGTATTTGCTTGCACAGTCATTTGTATAGCTAACAAAGAAGGAACATGAGGTTGGGATTCAGTGCATTTTAACTGCTGTTTATCCACTACGGTTAATAATGGGACTAGTAATGATCGCCCTGAGAGCACACTTGGGACACTCTGATTATGTCTGCAATGACTGAGGACTGTTTGGTTCATTAATAGTTGTTAAAAGCATTAGTGTGTTACCTGCAGCACGAGGTTTGCCCTTGTGTCTGTCAAAGATGAGGCCGTTCCATGGAGCACACAGCACGCCACACAGCTGTGTTATAGCAAAGGCATTGATGTACCGGCTCACTGCGAGATACACAAGCCAGACAACATGGTTAGAGACTAAATACTTTAACATACAGTTCAACAAATCTGCGATAACAGTTAGTGCTCATTTAACTTAATGGACCTAATAAAGAAAGTTTGTATAAATGGATCTTTGCTAGGACAGTCAGACATGTTGTGGTTTTTGTGTGTGTTTACCCAATGAAGGCTCTCCCTCTGTCAGTCTCTGCAGCATGGGGTTGAGGGTGCCGATGAAGAGGTAATGTCTGAGCTGCATCACTGACAGCCACAGCAGGTGGAGGACAAAGAGCCTGGACATCAAACACTCCCGGAAACTCTTCTCTGAGGGAGACCACAAGAGAGTGGAGAGTAAAGAAAAAAGACAAAGTGAAATAGATTATTTGAATGTGTTTTTCTGGTATCTTTGACAATATATGAATTAGGGCAACATTAAAAGGAACAAACCTTGATTCACCGGGTCGTCTGTGTTCAGGAGCATTTTCCCCCTCGTCTTCTGAGCGTTACCATTATCTTTTGTCTGCTTTAAGCTCGGAGTGTTTGATTTTCCACAGGTTATCCTGAGAAAGGTCAAAGGTCACATTGAGTCAGACACAGACTGTGGCCATTTTGAAGGTTTTATGATAAATATTTACTTTGCAAATGACAATATTAAGTTATAACCCGCAATAATCACAAAACAGGATATGAAGGATATTACTTAGGAATGTTGGATAATGATGTGAAAATGAACTGTGCCAGTAAGATTCAAAGCATATGTTGTTACTGAAAGAAATGTGATTACCTCAATTTATTGTTTGACTTGAAATATAAACTGGGTTTATTCATCATTAACCATTTTCTTTGGAAAAGGAAAGTTAAATGCTTTAATGTTTTTTATAGATTTTCTGAAAAATATGCACATATCTGTAAAATAGTTTGAATTGTTTTTTACTCAGACCTAATTTCCTGTCACACCCAATACAGCTTTTTCTTGCTTAACTGTATAGTAGAGTTATAGCAAAGAGCCAAAGCAAGTCAATATTCAAACTTTTTTTTACATATTTGAAACAAAAAGATACATTCATGGATTTCTATTCTTGGTTTCACTTGATGCACTTATGAAGAACACATGTTTGTTTGTATTGGTATCTGTACCCGTATGTGTATTCATCCGGCAGTGGGTAGGGAATGTGTTTTCTGGGCAGCAGGAAGAAAGTCCTGAGCAGGTGAAGGACGCTGCAGGCGCACAGGAAGAGGAAGGAGGCTCGCAGAGAGACGCCCGCCTCGTGCAACAGCTGAAAGAGACAACGAGATCATTGACACAATATGAGATGGTATAAAACATTTTCATTAATGAGACCATAGTGTTCCTTTTCTCACCTTGATGACAAGGAAAATTGCTGATGAAGAGTCGAACGCCCCGTTATAGAGAGTAATGATGGTCGAGCGACGGGCGCCAAACAGGTTTCCAACCTTTAAGAGAGAAGTTTGAATTAATTAAAACAGAGGTGTGTCGTGTTTAAGTCTCTGCTTTTTTCCCTTTTCTTTCATTCAATGTTAAAACTAGTTATTGCCTGTGTGATCATGAGGATGTGGTTTTATCACTGTTTCCCTGGAAGAGCTTGCTATTTATTTCCCCACAAGATCATGAGCTTAGTCTGAGAACCAGAGCCTGGTTTTTTAGATGTGGGAAACACTTGAAAAACAAACCTTTGTGCTTCCTAAAAAAGCTCTCACAACCAGTTTTGTCAGTCTCAGCTTTACTCAAAAACATAGTCCTATAGTTCGATTAAGAGCTGCTGTTTTCGCTGATCATATGGATTGATTCTCAGGGCAAACTTAAGGAGTTGCTGCTGTTCTCTGTTATATATAATTGTAAAATACATAATATTATAAGAGGGTTTCAGACTCTTTGCTGAATAAAAAAGCTATTTTAATACGTCAACTCGCCCTGAGGAATTGTGAAGGGCAGTTTTTACAATTTTCCGACATTAAATGAAGAACATAAAAATGAATTAAAGCAACAGTTATCTTTTTAATGTTTATATTCTGTGTGAGTGCTTCAGTACCTGCATGTTGGTCATTAAAAACAAGATGCCTCCTACTGCCAGGAGTGAAATAGCTGGAAAGAGGAGGTTGGAAAAAGCTGATAGAAGAAAAAAAAAGATTAATAAATATTAGTGTCCACAGATGTAACACCTAACTATTAGAATAATACGGTGACACACAGGAATGTTTTTACCTGCAGTGGACAAAGCCAACATCAAGGAACCCAGGGTATAAAGACAGCTGGAGGGAGAAGAAATGTCAGTGTTATTGAGTCATGTTGGCTTAATGGGGTCTTAACAGAAACATGGCTAGATATAATGGTCATGTAAATGTTTTCAAGCCCTGTTATACTCATTTTCAGGTTCATATTTGTGTTGGAGCGCCAGCCAATAGAAGCACAAGTGTTACATAGTGATGTCACTGAAGTTAACAAAGGAATCCAATGGAGTTGTTTCAGGCAGTTCATTTTCCCTCTAAAGAGAACTGTGTGATTTTAGCCTATGCAAACCACACTAAAACCTATATAACACACTACAGGAATTTGTAGACACAAAAAAGCATAATAGGGCCTCTGTGTCAACAAAATTAAAAATAAATATTTGAGATAGGAAATTGTTCTGGAATAGAAATCAAAACACTTTCAGAGAACAACATTAAACAAGCTTTCAAACGCAGGTTCTTTTTCTGCTGCTGTCTGAAGAGATGTTAGGTACATCCTAAACGAAGATCTTCCCTGCTCTCAACATGACACATCTTGTCCAACTATTTGCATTCCTTGGCTTTTTATTTTCCTTCCACCCTCTTTTAGTGGAAACATATGGATGTCCTTAGTGCTCGTTTGTTATAGTGGATTTAGATATATCTGAGGCAACAAACTAGGCAGGAATGTGTGTGTGTGGTGTTATGATATAGGATGTGTATGAACTCTGCAGCAGTAAGGAGAACTTCATGCCACAAGATTTAAATATCTGCTCCAAAAGAAATCTTTCTTTCTGAAATTCCACTAACCTCTTGTCATTAAAGGTCTTGACCTTTTCCTTTATTGTTATTATTCTCTAAACTTATTCCAGTTCTGTTGCCCTTTGCTGCTTAACTCCTCCCTTTTCTCATAAAACGTTTTCATTATATACTTCATTGCCAAGGCTCTGGTATGTAGACTGCATCTTCATTCTTGTGTCTGTTGCTGCCTGGAGACTGCAGCTAATTTACATAACATACTTTGAGGGAGATAGTTTAATATATGCTTGCTTTCCTGCTCTTCTTGCTTTTCTATGTGTACGGGTTTGACCTTACATGAGCATAGACTTAATTTAGCAGCAAATACATCAGGTCGTCGCACGCATCTCTGCTTGTCTAGCTGATATCTCTCAGTGGATGTCTGCTCATCACCTCAAGCTCAACCTTGACAAGACTGAACTGCTCTTCCTTCCGGGAAAAGATTGTCCCACTCTTGACCTAACAATCAACATTAGCACCTCTGTTGTTTCCCCGACTCAGACTGCAAGGAATCTGGGTGTGACCCTAGATAACAACCTGTCCTTCACTGCAAACATCGCTGCTACAACCCGCTGCTGCAGATACACGCTTTACAACATCAGGAGGATACGTCCCCAGCTGACACAGAAAGCGACGCAGGTTCTGGTCCAGGCTCTCGTCATCTCACGCCTAGACTACTGCAACTCCCTCCTGGCTGGTCTACCTGCATGTGCCATCCGACCTCTGCAGCTCATCCAGAATGCAGCGGCTCGTCTGGTCTTCAACCTTCCTAAATTCTCCCACACCACGCCGCTCCTCCGCTGCCTTCACTGGCTTCCGGTAACTGCTAGAATCCACTTCAAGACAATGGTACTTGCGTACCATGCTGCGAATGGATCTGGCCCTTCCTACATCCAGGACATGGTTAAACCGTACACCCCAGCACGTGCACTCCGCTCTGCATCAACCAAACGGCTCGCTGCACCCTCGCTGCGAAGGGGACCCAAGTTCCCATCAGCAAAAACACGTGGGTTTGCTATCCTGGCTCCTAAATGGTGGAATGAGCTCCCCATTGACATCAGGACAGCAGATAGCTTACACACCTTCCAGACTGAAAACTCATCTCTTTCGACTCCACTTCGAGCGATAGAACTATTAACAAAGCACTTATATACTAATAAAGGGCTGGCTTATCTAAAGCCAGTTGAGTAGCACTTGAAATGTTTTTGCTCTATGGAGCCTGATGTACTTATATGATTCTGTTTTCTTCAAGTTTGTATTTTGTTGGTCGAACGCACTTATTGTAAGTCGCTTTGGATAAAAGCGTCAGCTAAATGCAATGTAATGTAATGTAATGTAATGTGAAGAATCCATCAGAGGTCAAAATACCAGAGGCAGACTTTACAGCAGATCGCCATCATTGCATTGCAGTATTAGCCACTACAGGCAGAGGCGGGAGGGATCAGAGGAGAGGGTCCCATCTGGCTTTAATTAAAATGTGTTTTGTTTTCATTTATTGTTGCACCAACAAAGGGCAAAACGACTTGTGTGAAAACAAGAAAAATAATTTCATGTTTTTAATTGTTTTTGTTTTTGAAATGAAAACTTTCATTGCAATAGCCTACACACTTTATTGCTTTTAATGTTTAGCTTTGTGGCAACCTGTTGCATATTTACATGCTTTAATGTTCGAAAAGCTCTTTATTTTTCTCACACTGCAGCATCTCTTTTCTCCCTCTGTCTGAAACCAGAGCCCAGTCTGCTCTGATTGGTTAGTTATTGGTTAGGCTTTGTTGTGATCAACTGTTTAGAGATGTCCCGCTACTAAGCCTATCAAGTGCAATGTGTTGGAGCGTTAGCCAATAAAATCCCTTGTTACATAGTGATCTAATTTCACACTACAAGAGAGAGAAAACCCCCAAAAAGCATATGAGGGCCTCTTTAAGTGATGTTTTTGATTGGAACATACATGTCTTGCTTCCGCCTGAACAGCTTTAAAACACACACTATCTATGAGCTAGTTATTTTTTAAATATAATATATTGAATATTTTCCAAAAGGAAATCTAAACAAACTGTTGTTAGATGAAACCATCACACCTACAATCAATACACCTACAACCAACTAGGAGAGACTCATTACTGCAACTTGCACTTGTTCCTCAATAATCAGACTAATGAACAGCTCTGTTTGTTGATTACTGATCAATTTGTATTATTTCTGTCTTTTATACTCTCAAGATAATAATATATTGTTCAACTCACGTTCCAAGGAGTCGAGTCACTGTAGTACCAAACCGGTCAAAGAGGAAACCATTAGGCAGCGTCAGGAAATTGTTCATAAAGGAGGCGATGGTGAAAACAAGAGAGAACTGTTCATCCTGCCCGCTGCAATCTGTACACAAAACATACAACATACAATATTCAATATACGGTTAACAGGTGGTTATTAAGAAGAGAGATGTAAATGGTTCCAGGTGAATTCAAATTAGTGAAGGTGAGGAACTGACCTAAGACCTGCGTTGCATTGACTCCTGTGGTGTTGACGCACAGAGAGCTGAAGTAGCCCTCCGTCTTCAAGACAAAGACAAGAGAAGCCCATCCAAACACAGCTCCAGCAAAACACAGACACTCCACCAGACCCGTAGCGAAGGTGAGGCAGCGCTTCACTGTCAAACCATTCCCGAGACCTGACATGGTTCCTCAAACAGACACTTCCCAAATACTATACTTTCAGCCACATGGACACACATGCACAAACACACAAGTGATTTCTGTTACTGCACCTGCCAAACAAAGGGAATACAAAGAAATGTTATTCTGATTAATTTAGAGATGACTACGTGTCGACACAAGCCTTGGAATTGTATATCAAAAGAACCGGACATGCATGACTAAAGTATTTTAAGGTTGCACAAGGAAGACATGAGCTTGAAACATCTGGGCACAGAATGTGCTGATTGGTCCAGGCAGTTAGGTCAGATGGACTTCTGCATTAAATGTGTCTTTGGATAACAGAAGCAAATTACTGTTGTTGAGATAATGGTAGGTCATACACTCCAATTTCAACAACAAAAAGATGAAATTAGAATGGTCAATGGTGGACTTTTATCAAAGTAAACACAACAAATGTGCAGTTGTAAGGCTGCATTATTATCCAGTCTAAAAGTCTGTAGTACTCACAGTTCAGTCTCTGTAGCGCTCCCCAAATGGTCCTACAAACCACACCTCTCTGCTCTTGCTACACTCTCTTTCTTTATATAGGCCAGCTCTTCCTTCCTCTTTCATTCCAGTTCCCTCCCTCTCCTCCCTCCCCCATATTTGTATCTTTCTCAATCAATCTGTCTGCTGCAACAAGAGGGAAAATCCCTCTTGTTGCAGTGCTAGTAGCTGCAGAAAATAAACATTCCCTGCAAAGGAAAACAGCGATGAAGCAGCCGCTGAAGCTGTGAGATACACTCCAGATGTGGATGCTATTAACGCTGGCTACACTGGTTTAGCAGAAAGGTCATGTGACAGGAAAAATGTTGGGAGTGCCGTGTGGAAACTTGCTCTCTGTGGCATTGACTTTATTGGATCCATTGCCCCCCTACCTTCTTATTTGCAAAGTCTAAAAGCATTGCAGCGTCACTAACATCGTTACTGGGTAAATATGTGCAAAGCATCCTTGGCGTGATCACTGCTTAACAGGCTGTGAGGAAGGGTGCTGCAGTCCCCTAGTAGTTAACCATTATGTTGAAAATTCTAGATAAGAAAATTGAACATTGAGTTTAAAATATATTGTTATTGGCAGTCACAAAAGACAAATCGCAGTATGGGAAATGTAGTACTAATGATGGGGTCTAAAACGGGGTTGCTGAGTTTCAAGGATCATTTTTTAAATCCGTCACTTTCAGCAACCCAATCTACTTTGGATCAATTGAGAACTAAGTTATGTTATTACCATTTTAAATATAATTTGGAGTGTTAAAAGGTTACAATTTGGTAAGAGATTACAGTTTCCAATTATCTTTTAAGACAGAGCACAACTATTCTGAAATACTGCAATATTTTAAATGTATGTAAATAAATGAAGGACAACCTGAATCATTTTATGAAGCCAGGAAATATATCCTGGGATCTAATCAGTATCTAAATTCAATCATTCTCTACACATTATCTTTAAGTGTCTTTAGTCAAATGTTACACTTTTGTTAATAAACAGATAAACAACATGACAGTGATTTCAGAGTACCAGCATCAACAGAGCACTTAATTATAGACACAATATCAATCAGCATTAGCATTTCAACTAGGCTATGTTATCAGCTACAGTGCGATCTAATGAGTAACTCAGGTCTGTCAGTACCTGAGACATCATGAACAACCACCTCCACTAAGACTGTTATTGATAATTATTCTGTCAGGGGAATTTTATGATTGCCTTGATTTTCTCTCCTTTGATATCATTTACGCAAAGTGACGATACTACAGAAATGGGTCATTAATACATTCTGAGAGATATTTTGCATTTAGTGGGATTATACAATGTCACTGTTGCTGAGGCACATGAGCAACCAGAGCTACTGTTACATGATCATCATTATGGCCCGATACTTTGCACAATGTTTAAGGCAAATTCCCTTTGATGATGCTGTTCTTGAGGCAGTGGTTGCTGATAGCTAAGGGCAGAGATGTAAAACACAGCTGGAAGTCTTAAACTATGTATAACACCATTCATGAGACCACTGAATGTATCCTCTTTTACCAGTATCCTGATCACAAGACACGGATATTTGCAAAGAGTGTGACACGCATACACGCCTGTAGGCACTTCCTTAAAACCACTGGCCCAGTGTTAACAAACATCACCCGCCCTACATATTTATATGTGTGCTATTGTAGATAGAGCCTGAATAATCGTACTCTCTAGTAGGTCAGCAAAGGTCTTGAGCCACATGACTTATATCTCATCACAATGCAGACTCACAGGCTGTGGCTCCCGACCTCTTTACTGAGAGGAACAGTCAGATCAACTCACAATACATGTCATCTATTCCCAATGTTTTTCTCCACCTCTTCTGAACAGTATGTGGAAGGTGGATTGAATTTATTTTCCATGCAATTAAAATGGCAATATTTAGTTTGATTTGGCGAGCAATTGTAATGCTGCTCTTACTACTCCTAATATTCCTACTACAATTACAACTTTCCCTAACCCCATTTATGCGTAACCATTTTTCCATTCATTTTCGCCAACCATTTGAACTGTTCAGTCATTTATTAGAGCTATCTGTGTCAACTATTCATTACTTTTAGCTTCCTGTTTAATCCTCTTTGCTTACTTGTTTAAACTTGCTATTTTAAAAACACTCTGCAACAAGGGCAGTTTGACTGATGTTTTATGAGCTGCCGTGCCTCTAACTCAACATTCCTATCAGGAAAATGATGAGTCCAAATGCTTGACAATATTCAATATTAAAGAACAATATAGGCTTATAAGCAGGGGTGCACATCACTTTTTTGCCCTGGTTCTCAAAGGAGCACCTGGAGATGTTGCTTGGTGCTCATCCTTAAAAGGAAATAAACCGTAACTTTTGAGGGGGTCTTGACTTTATTTGCCAGACACACGGCACTAGAACACACATGCAGAGGTGAACACAGAACACACATGCAGAGGTGAACACAAGACAACATTAGCACGACCAGTAATCCTACAAGCTGTCATCACTACCCTCCTGACTGTCTTCCTCTCTGTCAGACATGGTAGCTGATGATGTAGGCCTACTACTTCCTCTCTGGTTGAGTCTGCGATTAGCTGCTTGCATCCACAAGTCAACAGCTGGTTTTGGGTCGAAAGTCTCTGTTGTCATCTTAGACAAGTGGATGTAATCAAATAAGTATGTGAACATTACCAATAACCTACCATAGCCAATAACAAATTAATGTAACTTATTTTATTGTTGTTGTTCATATCTTATTTTACCTTAACATTTATATATATTTTTTTTATCTTTCCAGTTTTAAAGGATATTTTTGGTTACTGTACTATAGTATACATTGGAATGATTTCAAACCTGTTTATCCCAATAATTATAAAGGAGTGCCTTGAAAATATGTGTTTACATAAATTGTGATCAAAACGTTTGAGACCCACTGAGATAACTTAGACTAAAGTGAACTATCTAAACACTCCACAGTCCTTTACCTCACTGAGCTGTAGCCTCAGTCTGACTGGAGAAGATCTCTATCTTAGTTCTATTTTCCTCTTCTCTCATCATCGCTCCTAGATCGCATCTCTCTCCTCATCTATCTCCTCTCTCTCTCTCTCTCTCTCTCTCTCTCTCTCGTCCTCTCTCTCTCTCTCTCTCTCTCTCTCTCTCTCTCTCTCTCTCCTCTCTCTCTCTCTCTCTCTGTACGCAAATGCGCCTTTTTTCAAATGACCCGGTGCTCATTTTTTGACGGAGGTGCGCACCAGTTATGTGCAGCCCTGCTTATAAGGAACAGTGAGACATTTTTGGGAAAACATATATTTATTGTGATGCAGAGTTATGTGACAAGATGGATACCACTCTCATGTACCTGAAATACGTAGTTGGTTGTCTACTGAGGGTTAACTTTGCTTAGCATAAACACTGGAAAACTGGCAACGTCCAAAGATTACTTATCCACCTGTCAACACCTATAAGGCTTTCTTATTTGTCAGCAAGATCTTAACACAAGAATGCACAGACACTAAAGCTGTACCCCTTATAATGTCAGTTAATATTTTAGTTTAGTACAACTAAACTTGATCATATTGTAATGCACCAATTGCTTCACAGTGAACTTGTTGGTGGTTAAATATTGTTAGATGATATAACCACATTTTTCTGTCAAGATATAGGTAGGATAGTATGTTATATATTTCAGGAAAAAATTGTAAAGTCCAGGTTAGCCACGTAGCTGTAATGTTCACAGATGGGGGCTAGAGAATGCATCATTGAATTATAAGTCCCTTAAGTAGTATAAAAGTAATACAGGGTGCATCTCTGTGTATGTATGTATGTATGTATGTATGCATGCACTCGTGTGTTTGTGTTACCAGAAGTCAAACCGGGAACTGCATCAATAAGCAACTTCAAGGACAGCTAATGGTCAATGTCATCAGCTCTTATATAATTTATTAAAATAATGCAGAAACCACGAGACTTTCGTTCTCCATTTCCATTAGTACTTCTTCTTTGTAAAAATAACATTGGTGGTGCAATAAATAAGATGAAGGTCCATGTGACTTAAATGACGCAATACTTAACATTTCATAGATTAAATCCATCCATCCATCGGTCAATCCATTACAACACGTAGGCTATCCTGTAAAAGTTGTCAGATGTAAAGCTGATCCCAGCTGAGTTTAAGCGAGAGTCAGGGGTCCCTCAGGAAAGTTCACTCAATCACATGGATGACGAGTCACAAAATCCACAATTGTTTTCCTTTGGTTTTGCTTTATCACAAACTCTCCTGTTGTTAGTTCCTTACACTTTTACCTCACCTCGTGTCCCCCTTCCATTCACCTCACCTTTAGCTTGTGAGTGTTATGAACTTGGTTACACAAGGATAAGGACTCAAATGCATGACCCGGGAGCCAAAGGTAAAGTACAATTAAGATACTTTATTTGCACAAAAAAGGTAACAAAAGAAGATCACTCTTAAAGATCAAATGCAAAGGTTTTTTTTATAATTGCCAGTAAAATCGAAATCATATAGCTACAACACTATCTAAGATATTGCAGTATTAAAATCGGAGATAATATGCGTCTGGCAATGCGCAATATTTATTTTGTTCAACCCCCAACACCAAGTCCGACGATTTATTTTCTCAGCCGCTCCTCCGCAAGATGGCGTCGCGTGACGTCACAGTGGCCAAACAAACAAACCTTGGCTTATCGCTCACAGCTGCTTCCGCCGATAGTACAACTTAGTTTCGTTATCATTTCTGATTCTGAGTAGACTATAGACTAAAAGCTTTAGGAATCCAAACTATAACATATAATAAGTACCCTGTATCAAGATTGATGCAAAAACAAGTGACGTTTGACCTTTTTAGAGAGGTTTAGAAAAATAAAGTCCAGGTGGACTCACCACTGGGTAATTTGGGAACCATCACAACCAAACACAATGCTAACAGTGAGACTCTGAATTAGCCCCGAGCGAAAAATGCTAACCTATTACTGCACCGAAATCACTCCTAGCTCCCTTATTACTTATCCTAGCTCCACATCCAACACATTGTTTATGATCGTAAAGACACAGAATCTAACGGTGCCCA